AGTGGTCTATCAGTAAAAAACAAAACAAAGGAAGAGCCTATAAAACAAAAATTGGAGTTAAAGAACATCATTTCGATTACTGTTTTGAATTTGATACAAATACAAAATCTAGATTTGTCAGAAGATCTTTTAATCGGTTCTCCAAAGTTAAAAGACTTCCGGTTGTTTATATTACAATATATCGAAAAGAAAAAGATAAAATTGTACTTTTAAGTAATTTTTTTTCACTGGTTAGAAATAGAACAAATCGGAAAACTTTGATCGAAATTTCAAAATTTAATTGAGTATCGAAAAAATAATATAAACCAGACAAGTAATCTCAATTATCTCATTAAGGTATCAAATTTTATGTCTTAGTTGTCTTAGACAAATTCAATATAATTGATTGATTAGGAACTTTCATAAACATAGTTTGGTTCTGATGTACAAAGTTTTTTTAAAATCGGTGAAAAGTTCATTCTGATTGGTTGTTACCACAAATACTAACTGTGAAAGTATCCTCAGTAACTACAAACGCTATCAAAACTGTTGAAAAATTCATGAGAAGTAGAGCTCAATTCTGATTGGTTGACATTAAAATTGTTGAAATTTCCATGGCTAATGAAGCTCAATTTTGATTGGTTGACCTTGAATTTGTCGAAAGGTCCATGACTATCGAAGCTCGATTCTGATTGGTTGATATCAGAAAAGATAAAATTAATGCTCGATTCTGATTGGTTAAAAGCAAAACTTTTGAAAATTCCCTGGTTAGATTGGATGATTTTTATATCAGCTGGGCTAAATAGCATATCGATTCTGATTTTATTTCACAAGAAAAACAATTGGTTAATAGGTTTGCTGTTTTTATTCAATTTTATTCTTTTTTTGAGGCTATTCAACTCTTCTTATCTAAAAACTTGGTACATTTTAAATCTCCCATTTAAGTAAAAATGCACAAAATACGCTAATGAATAGTTAAGTAATTGCCAAAAGTTGTAAAACTTGGATAATTGTAAAGCATCGACTAAATGAAAGGTTTTTTGTAGTTACTATTTTAAAGTTTTTCTTGTTTAGTGCTTGTAAAAGTTTTCATAGAGTAGAGCGTTTTTAAGCAGAAAATGCTATTTGACTTATTAAGAATTATGCTTTTCCTGTATTTTTTTAAGATGATTTCAGAAGAGAAATCGACAAATGATCTGGAAAAAATGAAAAGATGAATGTTTTTGCTAAACTTTGAAAACTTCAAGATAATGATATGCATCATTCTCAAGTAAAATTTTACTCTAAAATAGAAGTTCAGATTTTAAACATGATTATACAGCTATGAGATTGAGAAAATCTTTTAAAGATTTTTAGCAAAGGATTTATGGTACTAATTCTGCTTCGGATTGTTGAATGTTCGTTGAAACGATTCATTTCTCAATCTAAAATTCAGTTTTCAAGTAAACATTTGTTCAAATCGGATTCATTTGGTAGATAGTAGATCAAGCAGAAACTGAGAAAATGCTAAAATGAGATAGAAAGTCAATTTACTCATTAGAAATTTCGAGATAATTTCACTTAAATTCAGCTTATGAAGTATATCTTGAGAAAAAATCTAACATAAAAATTCTCAAAGGTTTATATTTATGCGTAATTCATTAGGAAATCTTTTATCATTGATATATTAGAAACTTTTTCTGAAAAATTAAATATTTTGAGGATAATTTTGTAAAGTAAACCCAATCAGACAACTTTTGGAAGACGATACAAGCATAAATCAAATTTTGCTTTCAAGATCAGAAATTCATTATTTTTACTATAGCGTTTTTTGCTTATTCAAAATATTAAAACTAAACAAATGATCCAATTTGCAACTTAATTTCTTTTGCTTTATCAATTTTTAGAGACGCGCTCTTAAAAGTTATTAGATTTTGTAGAAGTTAGGAGCTAGGTTCTTTTGCGTTTTTCCGGAGGTTTTCAGATTATACCTAATAGAGTTGCTCTTAATTTTTGATTTATTCTTAAATTGTGAAAAATACACCTTTTTATTCTCATTGTTTACATATTTTTTGAATGCTTTATTTAGCAGCAATTCTTTCTCACTAGGATACTTTTGAGAAAACTTCCATCATAAATTTATAATTAAAAGCGATTTAATAACAATTTTGCAAGAAAAGCGATAGTTATTGATCCCAAAATTTGTCGTTTTGCCTACATAGTTTACCATAGCAACTGAACAAGAGACCTTGAAGAAGACGTTTACAATTTTTATCGTAATTATCAGACGGTATCAGTTCTAATTTCATCTCTGCCGGCGAATTGTTTGTTCAATTGTTACTATTTTCCTCCTAAATTCTCCAGTTTTGACTAAATTTTCTGGTAAAGTGTGTTCAATCGCGAAAACATGTAATAAGCAGAAAGCAAAAATAACTTTAAAACGTAGAAACATTCTACGGAAAATTATGAAAATTATGTTGCAGAAGCAACAGAGAGATAATCATCAGTAATGAAGATTTTTTTTTTGACTTTGAGCAAAATCGAATAAATTTTTCAGAAAAAATCATCCCATTTTAGTCAATTTTGGCAGTTAACTGTTATCTTTGTATCAATGATCTGAAATTTGTAATTATTAACGTGGAAAAAAACTCACAAATTGTAGTTTTTGTACAAATTTGGGTAATTCAATGAGAAAAAATGAGGAGGAGTTGAATCATGGAATTTGATCTAGAAATTTCATGGAAAATTGCTCTTAGAATTCATTTGAATTGAGATTTCTATTGAAAATCTCCCTGAACTGGACGAAAAAAAAACTGTTATTAATCAAAGTAGACGAATCAAAATGGAAAACTTTGGGTAAATTTGGTTAATTTTTACTTTATTTCCTCGAAAATTACGATCATATTCACTGTTTTCCGGAAGTTTCAATATTGATTCTGCTCTTATGAGCTTTTTTTTGTTGTTTAGAGCATTTTCATAACCCTTTTTTTAGCTCAACTTATGGTAACTTTATCGTATTTCAATATTTTGAGAAAAAAATGTGAAAAGTTCATTTTTTTTTCAAAATTTTGTATCGTTGTCTCAACATGATGCCAATTAAATTACAGTCTGAGCTCAATTTTAAAATTTTTACTTTATACGTAAAACTATGTTTAAAAAAATATCAGAAGCAACAATACAACAGCCAAAATTATCAGATTTCTTTATTCTTTTTTCCAAAAACTTGAAATGTTTGAATTTTATTTCAAATGGTTGAAATTTTTGAGATTTTTAACTTTTTTCGAAGTTTCAGTAGGTTTCAGAATTGTTTCAACAAGACAGAAAGTAAGGTTATCTAACAAATTCTAGTATATATATTATATTAATAGTCGAATCATAGCTAATCTTATTGTGTTTTGAAGTTTTTTTGAAAAGTTTTCAATATTTTCGATAAAAATTCTAAGTTTTTACCCCAAAAACTGTTACCATTGACTTATCTTGTATCAAAAAACTAATTGAAAGTCCCTCATTACACAACTTACACGTATTGAACGAATTCAAAGAACTGTCCCTAATTTTGGGAGACTTTATGTTTGTTGATAATTGTAAACCTCAGTAAGGCTTTGTGATGTTTTGCATGTTTGGTAATTGAAAATTTATTGGTTAAGAAGTATTTTGTCTCACTGAAGTGTTTATTTAGAGCTACTATATCTAAATAAAAGTCAGACAAACTTGCAATTTAATCAAAATTGACATTGACATCAAAATTGAAATTGATTTTTGGAGTTTAAATGGTTGTTTTAAATTTTTGTTTGCCTTAATTTGAGGTTTTGATTGGCTACATGAATTTCCTTAAAACTAATTAGATTCTAATTAAGGGAAAAAAATTATTTTATGGAGATTGCTATTGCAAAATAACTTAAAATTGGTACAACCATTCGAGTTTTTTCAAGTTTCTCTGCTTATTTTGGTAAAAAACATGTTTCTATCAGAAGCGTTTTCAATGTCTGAAATGAACATTTATCAAATTTTAAGTTTGAACTACTACAAAAAATTAAAAGAGCGATAGACAGATGACGTTGATGGAAATTGTATTAGTTTTAATTTGTATAGAAACACAGAAAGTTCAATAGTTTTGTTAAAAAGATGCAGAGGAGATTTCAGAAAAGAAGAGTACTGCCAGATTTAACAACAATAGTTTTTATCTAGAAGAGTTAAGTCAGATTCAGTGGACCATCACTAATAAACAAAACAATCGAAGAGCCTATGAAACAAAATTTGGAGATAAATAACATCATTTCAATTTCTGTTTTGAATTTGATACAAATACAAAATTTAGATTTGTCAGAAAATCTTTTAATCGGTTCTCCAAATTTAAAAGACTTCCGGTTGTTTATATTACAATATATCAATAAGGAAGTGATAAAAATGTATATTTTAGTAGTTTTTCCACTGGTTAGAAATAAAACAAATCGAAAAAATTTTGATCGAAATTTCAAAATTTGAATTGAGTATCGAAAAAACAATATAAACCAGACAAGTAATCTCATTTATCTCACTAATATATCAAATGTTATATCTTAGTTATGTTAGAAAAATTCAGTAAAATTAATTGATTAGGAAGTTTTGTTACATAGTTTGGTTCTGATCTACAAAGATTCTTTAAAGTCTGTGAGAAGTTCATTCTGATTGGTTATTACCACAAATACTAACTGTGAATGTATCCTCAATAACTACAAACGATATCAAAAATTTTGAAAAATTCATGAGAAGTAGAGCTCAATTCTGATTGGTTGACGTTAAATTTGTCAAAAAATTTATAACGAATGAAGCTCAATTCCAATTGGTTGACATTATATTTGTTGAAAAGTACATGACTATTGAAGCTCGATTCTGATTGGTTGATATCAGAAAAGATAAAAATTTCCCTATAATTAATGCTCGATTCTGATTGGTTGATAGCAAAACTTTTGAAAACTCCCCGGTTAGATTTTATGATTTTTTTTTCAGCTGGGCTAAATAGCATATCCAATCTGATTTTATTTCACGTTAAAAACAATTGGTTAATAAGTTTGCTGTTTTTATTCACTTTTATTCATTTTTGAGGCTATTCAACTCTTCTTATCTAAAAACTTGGTCTAATTTAAATCTCCCATTTAATCTTTTTCTACTTATTGAGATGCCGTCACTGAATAGAAACGATAGAGTTGCATGTCTTGAATGTGGCAGAGAATACACTCGCTTACACGCATCAAGACATTGTAGATTTTGTGGTGTTTTGAAGTGTTCTAACTGTAACTTTTATACTTATAGCAAGGACGAACTCACTAATCATTTCAAGAAGAAGCATTGTCAATATAATGTTAAATTATGTGCTCAGCAGTCTCCAAACACACTTCAAGAGAAGGTAAAATTTATAATTTTGATTAAAAACAGAAAAACAGAAATCGAAAGGTGTTTTATAGTTTTTATTTTAAAGTTTTCCTTGTTTAGTCCTTGTAAAAGTGTTCATAGAATAGAGCGTTTTTAAGCAGATAATGGGGTTTGAATTATTAAAAACTATGCTTTTCTAATGTTTTTTTTTGATGATGAAGCTTGCAGAGACTTTGTTGCGATGAATTTGTAGTAAAAAAGCATAATATACGCTATTGAATAGTTAAGTATTTGCTTAAAACTTGTAAAACTTGGATATTTGTAAAACATCGACTAATTGAAAAGTATTTTGTAGTTACTATTTTGAAGTTTTCCTTGTTTAGTGCTTGTAAAAATGTTCATAGAATAGAGCGTTTTTAAGCAGATAATGGGGTTTGTCTTATTAAAAATTATGCTTTTCTAATGTTTATTTTTGATGATGAAGCTTGCGGAGACTTTGTTGCGATGAATTTGTAGTAAAAAAAAAACATAATATACGCTAATGAATAGTTAAGTATTTGCTTAAAACTTGTAAAACTTGGATATTTGTAAAACATCGACTAATTGAAAAGTTTTTGTAGTTACTAATTAAAAGTTTTCCTTGTTTAGTCCTTGTAAAATTGTTCATAGAATAGAGCGGTTTTAAGCAGATAATGGGGTTTGACTTGTTAAGATTTATGTTTTTCTATTGTTTTTCTTTTTGATGATTTCAGAAAAGACTTTGATAAATGACCTGGAAAAAACGAAAAAATGTATGTTTTTGCTACACTTTGAAAACTTCAAGATAATGATATACTTTCTCAACTAAAAATTTACACTAAAATAGAAATTCAGATTTTAAACATGAATATACAGTTATGAGGTTGAGAAAATCATTTAAAGACTCTTAGCAAAGGATTTATGGTACTAATTTTGCTTCGAATTTTTTGAATGTTTGTTGAAACGATACATTTTTCCATCTAATATTCAGTTTTCAAGTATAAATTTGTTCAAATTGGATTCATTTGGTAGATTTTAGATGAAACAGAAACTGAGAAAATGCTAAAAATGAGATAGAAAGTGATTTTATTCATTAGGAGTTTCGAGATAATTTGACTTATATTTAGCTTATAATGTATCTTTTGAGAAAAAACCAACATAAAATTTCTCAAAGGTTTATAGTTATGCGTAATTCATTAGAAAAATTTGTTATCATTTGATAATTTAGGTAGTTTGTTTGAAAAATTCGATATTTTGAGGATAGTTTTTGTAAAACTAAACCCAATCCGACATCTTTTGGAAGATGATAGATGAAGCATATATCAAAAACTTGCTTTCAAGATCTACAGTTCATTATTTTCACGATAGAGGTTTTTGCTTATCATAAATCGGAAAATTATACAATTGTTCCAGTTTGCAACTTGATTTCCTTTGCTTAATCAATTTTTTTAGACGCGGTCTTTTAGAAGTTTTTAGATTTCGTAGATGTTATGAACTAGGTTCTCTTGCGTATTTCCGGAGGTTTTCAGATTATAACTAATAGAGCTGCTCTTAATTTGCTCTTAAATCGTAAAAACACACCTTTATATTCTCATTTTTTACATAAATTTTTGCATGCTTCAACTAGCACCAATTTTTTCTCACTTGGATATTTTTGAGAACACTTTCGTCATAAAAGCAATTTAATAACTATTTTGCAAGAAAAATGATAGTTATTGATCCCAAAAGTTATATTTTTGCTTAAATAGTTTACGGTAGCAACTGAACAAGGGAACCTTGAGGAAGACATTTACAATTTTTAGCAAAATAATCAGACAGTATCAGTTCTAATTTCATCTGTGCCAGCAAATTGTTCGTTCAATTGATACTATTTTCCTCCTAAATTCTCCAGTTTTGACTAAATTTTCTTGTAAATTGTGTTCAATAGCGAAATTATAAATTAAGCAGAAAGCAAGAATAACCCTAAAACATAGAAAAATTCTACAGAAATTCATGAAAGTTATGTTGCAGAAGCAACAGAGAGATAATCATCAGTTATGAAGAAGTTTTTGTTGAATTTGAGCCAATATCGAATACACTTTTAAGAAAAATTTATCCCATTTTTGGTCAATTTTAGCAGTAAATTGTTCATTTTTTATCACTTATCTGAAATTTGTAATTAAAAACTTGAAAAATTTCTCACAAGTTGTAATTTTTGTACAAATTTGGGTAATTCAATGAGAAAAAAACGACGAGGGGTTGAATCATGCAGTTTGATCTAGAAATTTTTTCGATAAAAATTCCAAGTTTTTACCCAAAAAATCTTACCATTGACTTACCATATATCAAAAAACTAATTAAAAGTCCTTCATTACACAATCTACTCGTAATTAATTTTTTATATTTACAAATTAGTTAACACGCACCAACATTTTTGCGAAAAAGCTAGACGTTTCCACTCAAAAACCAAAAAAATTACGTTTTTCTTACCATTATCTTACCATCACACAAACCATAAAACCTTACCGTTGGTATTTCCTATCTTAATACATTGTAAACTTTATACCCAATCTTAACTACAGCCTCAACATCTACTACTCACCAGATCTTTGCGTACACTGAAGTGTCGTAATCATCACTGTTCTAGGTTGACCTGATGGAAGCTGTGCAACTTCTCAAAATTGATTGCCTAATATCGCGACAACTTTCGAAGATATTGGTGGAATATTTGTGCTCGGGTATTTTTTTCTCCTGACAAATTTCTACTTTTTATTTCGCTTTTTTTGTTGCAAGTTGTAATTATAATTCAAAAGCTATTGTTGTCTTGAGCTAAAATTTGGAAAAAAAGTTTTCAACTGTGATTAATTTTTATCAAAAAGTATCCAAAAGTTTCATCAGTACGAATTCCTCGATTCCTTCGGGACAATTAATGCGCGATATATTTTTTGTTTTAATGTATCGTAACTACGCCCATTTCAGTTTAATTTTATATATTTCAAGCCCTGCCGCCCAAATCTATGAGCTTTTTTGTTGTCCGAGAGCAGAAATTTTTTTTCTGTACAAAATTCCAAAGCCAATAAATCTGCGCTCAGAGCGTTTTGAAAGGCCGACCAGAAGGAATATATTTTTTAAAATCATGTGCACTGATAGCTAATGATTTTCAGACTGCTTGTGTCAGGGCAAAGCCTTGAGAATTCCAAATGCCTCTTAAGGTCTGTAATATTGTGAAAAAATTATCTATAATAAACAAAACAATTTTTTACTTTAGATTTTTTTTTTGAATAAAATGAAGCACTGAATTTTCTGAGCTGGCCGAAAAAACGCTACTTTTTTGCCAAAAAATTCCCAAAATTTCCAGACAATTTGCTGGGCTGGCCGAAACAACGCTACTTTTTTTCAAAAAAACTTCCGCAGAAAATCTACCAAAAACAAAAAGCTGAAATTTTCAAAGTAATGAAATTTGCTATTGTGATCATATAGATTGCCTCAGGTGAAATTGATTGCATCATGTCAATCAATTTATCCGAAATCAACTTTCCTCAGGATCGAACTGAAAGGATTCGCTGCCTGCGCAATGCGTTAAGAGGAAAATGGAAACACGAACCAATTTGGTCAATTTGACAAGACTTCAACCCTCAAAACTTTATTGCAACTGTAACAAATATGAAATGATTTCTTTTTAATTTGAAATTTTTGTGAAAATCATCCCCCCACATGCCATGTAAAGTACAAAGTTATAGATTTCACTCCTAATAACGAATCAATTATGGCAAATAAGCTTCAACCATTTTGGAACGATTTCTAAGACGGATTAAATCTCCGCTAACGCGTTAATAGTGCGACATGTTGACCGCTCGACTAGCATAATAGTTTGAAAAATGAAACTGTACCGACCAGCATAATTTCATAGCATTATTTCTCAGAAATACAAAACACTAGTCAAATTGGAAGATGCAGTTCTGCGAAAATGAAAATTGAGAATTTGAGAAATTAAGCAAACAAGTCGAATTTTCGGCCTATCGGAATGGGGCGGAGATCCTTTAGTAAGGACAATAAAGGAATTGTTAAATAGATCCAAAAATTCACATGTTTTTAGTTATTCCTTTATTTTAGGGGTGCATATATTGTGGGTAATGGTTTTAGTTTTGACTAATTGAATTCTGTTTTTTAGATTTTTATGCAAGTTGATACGAATTTCAATTTTGAAATTTTTATGCTAGTCGTTCTTTATGCTAGTCGATACACCATCGCGCGACATATATTGCGCGTTAATTGTCCCGAATTGGCTAAAATGCCAAGTTTTAAACCCCCATAACTTACAGAAAAATAATCACAGGTGGAAATCTTTTCAAATATAAGCTCAGGACAACGATACCTTTTGATTGATATAAAAAAATTGGTAAAAAATTGTTAGTTAAAAAGTCGAAATTTGTCTGAAGAAAAAAAGCCACCCGAACACAAATATTCCATTGCTTTCCTTACAAAAGTCGGTACAATATCATTTTATTATCATTAGTTTATCTCAGAAATCGTGTTATAAATATAAAGCTGTGCGCAACAAGGTTTTCACAGGAAACTTCATTTTGCAAGACTTTTTCGACGGAAATTTTCGACCCTCGAAATGCGTGGTTGGCTGTTAAGATGTCTGGGACCGCAATCGGAATTTCGGGAGAAATCAAGCGAATAAGTTTGATTGGTAAACCTAACAGATATTACAAAAGTGTGCCCTTAAAAGTCTTCTGAAATTTCCGGACGCTATGTATTTTGGATCAAACTTGAAATCATTCAAGTCTCACTGGAGAATTATTAAAATCAACAGATTTTACCCCTTTCTAGCGTAAGATATGTTAGTTAATCCTACTAGAGCTAGAGCTAGCCATATTGTACAAATTGCACAAAAGATTGCCAGATTTTGACATCCTCGATTATTTTTTAGAAAAAAAATTCAAAGAAATTTATGAAAGAACTAATTGGAAATATTTCGACCAGTTTTTATCACAAATGACGGACGTTTTTTTTAAAAAAATTTTTACGCGACAATCTCTATCATTCACACTTGATGGCCTAAGGTAATATGTTTGCTTCCTCAGGGCATGATATCACGGTAAAACCATTCAATATCGAAGATGCTTGCATGATGTTAACTCATGGTGCTCTTATATAAATTCATCGCTAAATTTGGGGAGAAACAAGTATAAATTTGCCCCCTCCCTCCCATCTATGGAATTTGATATACTGTCCGTCAAATGGAAGGGATTCCACTTCGGTATTGATTTACGACGTCTATTTTAAGCCGAACTCAATTTTCTCTCAAAGCCGAACTACTCGAAAATCATAATATAAGTTCAGTCTCAATTTTATTTATTTGCGGTTTGATTGATGTTTTTTTTAGTTCAGTTCCTTGCCTTTGTTAAAAAGAAGGCAAACTCCGCTATCGAACAGCAAAAGCAATATAATCATAGAAAACGTAATCGATTTCTAGTTTCGAAAGTGGAATTTTGTTTTCAGACTTGCTTCAAAAAAATTTCATTGTTCCAGTTTTCTCAAATTGGGTTCATTTTATCCAAAAAAAGCCATTCAAAAATTGATCTAGAAATTCAAAGAGTTTTAGGGGTGTCTGTTTCACTTTGATCTTGGAAAGTTGCATCAACTCTTTTCCAGATTTCTGTTGGATATGTTCACTGATGACTTCCGCTCTGTAAATGCTGATTTTTGGGACTATTGACTGCTTTTCCAACAACGTTATTAAAAAAAATTCAAAAAACATGCAGCTACAAAACAATTATTGTATACAATTTTGACATTTGACTTCATATGTAGTCGATATTCAGTTTTAAGTCAACTTCTGAGTTTTTTTTTCTGTCTGAGAGCTTAGCAAATTTTCTAGTTCTTTTTTCAAAGTATAGCTTAGAACCTCAGCCTTTCAGCAAATACTGTCAAGTTCACAGTTCTGAAAATTTTTTATTGTTTTTGGGACTGAGAACAAATGTCTGACACCCTCAGAATGAATGGCCCAACACGACTCGAAAACAAGTTTTTATTCCAGTATATCTTAAAAAACATTTTTCTCCATCAAATATTTAAAGCTTCAACTGTGCAACTCTAGCAATTGTCAAGAAAACGTTAGAAAATTGAAAAAAAAAGATATTTTCATCACTAGAAAAATAAGTTTGTAACTTCTATGATTCGGAATGTAATTATTAGGATTCGAAAAGCCAATATGCGGCTGTTTCTGAAACTTAAACGCCTCACAATCAAAGAAAGAAGGTTCACGTGTGCTTTTTTTTTGCTTTTTCAAGGGTTTTAACAGTTTTTTTTTCAAACAAAAGCAGAAGAAAAGCAGATTATTTTTGGAAATTGAAAATCTCGTTTGTCTCGTCAAAGTCAAAAAAAATTTTATACGTGGTTTTACCACATAAAAATTCAAAGCCAATTGAAGTTAAAAATCAATAAAGTTGCTGCAACAAAAGCAAAATGATGTACCCGCACTGGACTTCCATGAATATAAAACGAAATGAATTGAGTTTCACTGTCAGTGCCCCGAAACTGAAAAAAAAAGTTGATTTCAATCAATTAAAAATGGGTTCTACTATCAGGCAAAAAATCTTTTTATTCCATTTTTCCACTTTTTGGAAACTTTCAATAAAACTCAATTACAATCAATTTTTCTCCACTTTTTTGAGATGCAAAATTCAACGCACATAAAGTCTTTCCTACATTTTAAACTAAAGTTGGTTATTTTTGATTTTTTTTAAACTTAGATAATTTGGTTTCTTTTTTATGTTTCTCAATAGCTGAATTTTGTTCCTTTCAACAATTGGCCGCTTCTATCCCCTCCAATGTTTTCCCTTTTGCCCCCTCTCTACCTTTACACCCACAATCCCCCACCTGAACCAATGCGAACCCTACCCCCACCTGAACCAACCCACTCCACCAAATGAATCCCAACTGAACCGACCCGAGGGGTTGTAGAGGAGTAAAGGGCCAAACTTTAGGGGGAAAGTTCAACGAAACCTTTTTCCAATTTGAGTTCATGTTTAAAATGGAGTAGACCGTAGACTCACTTTGCAAAAATTTCGCATTACTCATTTGCTAAATGCAGAAATTCTTGAAAAGTTTTGCACGACGCGAAAAAAAAATGGAAAATGGAGAAGAAAAAAACTTCCAGTTAAACGTGATTTTGTACTTGTTTTATTATCCATTATAAAGATTTTAAAATGAATTATAATGCATTGTTTTTGCAAGAAAAAATTTGATATAAATCCTTCTTTTGTTCAATTTTTTTCTCAAAGCCTAACATGGGAATCGATTATAATGACATTGTTTTAGACCACAAAAATACATCATAATCAATTTTTTTTTAAATTTTTTTTAGATGCTTCATTATTCAGGTTTTGAGTATAAACAATGTTATTCCGACTTCCAGAGAAAATAGCGGAGTTTTTTACTAGTACCATTTTTAATTTTAAGTTTTCCATTTTAGACATTTATAAACAAAAATGAGAAAAACGTCGTTGAGCGTTAAATTGAATAAAAAACTGTTTCACCCATTATAATTTTTAGGAAGTTTACTGGGTTCGAAATAAACCAAACTGGTATCATAAACGCACACAAATTAACCAATTTTCTTTTACCGCAGTTGATTATTTCATTTCAGGTCATTCCACACTGAGCATAGACATGTGAACTAATCCAAAGATCATAAGCGTAAATGCGAAGTGTCGCATTCTGTACTAAAAAAAATGCGTGGGTTTTTAATTCCAAAAACAAAAAAGTTTATATATTTTTCTTTTCAATTTTTTTCTAAAATTATAGTTTTGAAACATAGATTGAATTTATTCTATGAAAGAGACTGCTAAAACATTCAGGTTTTTAACTTAATAAGCGCAGTTATTTAGGTGTTTTTGAATTGAGTGAGGTTTAACTAATTTCCGTCATGTATTTTTTTCTACTTTCCGAGTTTTTTGCGCCGAGTTTTTTTGTACCTAACCATTTTTAGACATTTTAATTAGCAATTTTGACAGTTTTTTTTAAGCAACCATGAAATTATATTACTCCGAAAAAAAATAAAACGGTTTCTTTTGTGGCAACGCTTAGGCTTCACTTGTGTTCAGTTTTGCCAATTTCGCCGATTTGTTTTAACTATTTTGCACAACATTTTCTATATTTCTCTATCAAGCAGCGTAGGCTTTGAAATAGTTCGGCTAATCAATCAATGCAAATTGAAACAAGACAAACTAAATGAATCCATATTAGGTTAATAGGCGCAAAGATTACGATTTAGAAATCATCGTAGCGTTTCGGGACAAAATTTTTTGTGAAAAATTATTTACTTTTTTTTATTGGCAAAAACTAAATCAGACTTGTTAAACAGCAGTGAGAATTTTCAAGGATTCACCCGAATGCAAGAATTTTTTTCATTTGGGATTTTTGGCTTTTGATTTTTTTTATAACTTTTTGTCACAAGATTAGCCCCAGTTCTGTCAGTTCTGCTGGACTGCAATCTTAGTTATCTTGAAAAAAAATTGAAGCCATGGTAATTTATTTCTGTTGAATAAATAAATTAATGTAGTAAGAGATCGATCGAATGTGAAAGCAACGTTTAATACACGTACGAGCAGAATCAATTACATATTCCATGTTATAATCAGTCTGTTTCATTATGAATAGCCTCCTACTAAAAAAATTTCATTATGCGACTTCAAATAAACAGATCGAGGTAATATGGTCTAATTTGGTACTTCATAAATGGGATTCGATTATAACAACTTTCATTTTTTCAAAAGAAATGAAAACCATTTAAATTATTAGGAGCTAGTTTTTCAGCCAATCAGAATCTAGAATTGGCATTGGTAATTCTAACAACTGACACGAAAAGGAAATTAAAAGAGCTTAGGTTAAAATAGTAAGCACGGAGTATTTCTTACCATCTTTATTTTCCAAAACCCTAAAAATCGGTTTGTTACTTTCCAAATTCTAATTTTCCAAATTTCATTCCCAGCTTCTGACTAGAGTCTAAAAGCTTACAGATTAAACCCAGAAATCGGCGACGAAAAATTTCTCCTTTATTTAACCTCTAGAAAGATAATTTACTGGATAGAAATTTATTGTTAGAAATTTCAATAGAGCTCGACAGACTTAAAGACAAGTTTTATTGAGTAATAGTTCTTTTGAGGCTAATCTAAAATTGAAAAGCTCATTCCTCAATTGAAGCAATAAACTTGAGACATTTTTCGACATTTGATAGATGTTCAAGAAATATAATCTGCGTTCCGCGATTTCTTCGTTATATTCGTTTCACTTCAATTGACCTGCTCAAAAGTTTATCTGAAAAAAGCCCTTATTTTAAATGTAACTTCAATCTCAAGAAACTTCAACTTATCCGTGAAAAATGAGCCAATTTTAGCTGTAATTTCAACTTCAACTTTCTAGTACTTTTTGACGATTTTAAAATTTCCAAACATTTAGCGTTACTTTGTCCCTTTTGATTTTAAAAGATACAGCATCCAATATGTCATTCCAAGCAATACTTCGAAATAACACAACAGAATCAGTGCCAGATTTAAGTTCAAATTTGTCTCAAAGCCAGTCGATTTTTTGGTTCAGCCCTTTAGAATGCACGACTATTGGTATCGGTTTTTATTCGGCTGCTCTTGTCGGTTCTTTTCTAAATACTTCGGTACTAGTCGTGCTTTGTCACGTTCTGTTTCGCGACGTTCGCAAATCAGGCTCGGATTTCCTGATTGCTGTGCTGACCTCTCTTGACCTTTGCGCAACAACTGTCGTGTTCGTTCTCGAAGGAGCTCACTTCATATCACCCGCTTGCAATGACGGACCCTCGGAACTCATGTTTGTCGTCACTTTTTTCCTCGAAACATCATCCGCTCTCTCGCTGCTGAACATCGCTCTGTTCCGATATTCTAAAATCTGTCTTGTAAACGTTCTTGACATCGACTTCAAGCAAACTTGGTACATGACTCTGGCAAACGTCGGAACTTCTGTAATTGCCACAATTCTCGCAGTGTTATGTAATAACCCAGACTGGAGTCGACTTTCGATGCTCATTTACCTGTCGACTATCTTCATAGTTTTCATCCTAATGGGAATTCTCTACTTTACCGCGTACTGGGCACTCCGCAAGCGGTCCAATCAAGCTCGACTACGAAACGCTAAACGAGTTAACTTCGCCAACTTAACAAACATGACAATCGGGACGACACCTGTTGAAAACAGAAACGGAAGCGGCGGCGAGCATTTAGCCGAACATAAAGCACTCGAAGAGGAGAACAACGACAAGCAGCAGACGAGTTCGAATAACTTGAAGGTGTCCTTTGAAATACAGCAAGAAGGATCCGGAGCATCCCAGATTTCGACGAAAGAAAACTCGCCGGCGAAGACAGCGATCGAACTGATGACTGAGCGATCGGCTAAAGTGTTCATCGCAATAACACTGCTGTATCTCCTATGTTTCATGCCCAACGCCATTTTGACATTCTCGCTGCTTCTGATGGGTCCGAAAAAATTCTACCAGTTGTCGATGCCTGTCGTTGCTCAGGTTTGTCAAAGGAAACTTTTCGGTCAAAAAAAATTTTTGTCGCAGGAACAGAGGTGGATCTAGCATTTTGTCGAGGGTAGAGGGAGGCCGTGTTCGGGAATAAATTATGTGCGCTTTGGACAATGTAGAGACTGTATAGAAACTACAGTTTCGAAACGGTCTCCGAAATTTTCGTACCCAATAAAAATTCTTATTCAGATCTGAAAAACTCTACTACAGATCCAAATTTCAGGTCTAAAATTTTCAAGTTTTATCAAGATCTGAAATAAGGAGTTTCAGACTTGAAAATCAGCTTAAATAACAAGTGTTAATTTCAGACCTTGTATAGAAAATCCGCTGGATACGGTTTTTTATTTGTTTGCTAAAGTTCATAACAATAGCAAATATAATTCAGTTTCATAGAATACAAAAATTAATACTATCTGAATTGTTGGGCTTGTGATAAACTCTTTGTCTGTCTTTCTGCCGGCCTGAGTGTTTTTTTCTAATCCGGGCCAGTATTTTTGAACAGCTCTGCAAAAATATTTCAAAAATAATTTTTTGAATATTTTTCCAGACCTGTTTAAAAATATTGGCCCGGATTAGAAAAACACTCAGGCAGGCAGAAAGACAGACAAAAAGTTTATCACAAACCCAACAATTCAGATACTATTAATTTTTGTATTTTATGAAACTGAATTATATTTGCTATTGTTATGAATTTAGCAAACAAATAAAAAACCGTATCCAGCGGTTTTCTATACAAAGTCTGAAATTAATATTTGTTATTTAAGCTGATTTTCAAGTCTGAAACTCCTTATTTCAGATCTTGATAAAACTTGAAAATTTTAGACCTGAAATTCGGATCTGTAGTAGACTTTTTCAGATCTGAATAAGAATTTTTATTGGGTACGAAAATTTCCGAGACCGTTTCGAAATTGTAGTTTCTATACAGTCTCTTATTATTCGGCTGGTGATTGATAATCATCTGCTTCTTTTATCAATACCAGATCTACCATGTACCCAACAAAAGCTTCTAATCAGGATAGAAAATTTATATAGATAATCTAAACTATTTTTGTGTAAGTTGTGTATACAGAAAATATTAATTTCTCATTTAAAATACAACTTCTGGAAAGAATAACCAGAATCAGTTCACTGCTCAACCGCAACAAAATAAACATTCTTCGAGTATACACAATAGCCGTAGCCCATACAATGCAATCAATACTTTTTGTTCCGACTTTCGAAGAGAACGGAATATTTATGTTCGGTGTGGTTTTTTATTCAGTCAATTTTGCCGATCGAAATAATAGTTTTCGACAATTTTTTATACCGCTTGAAGATATCGTCAACTTCACATAAAAAAAACTTTTTACCCGCAATTTTTTTTTAAGTTCTGGGGGTTTAAAAATTCTCAAATTGGCCGTGTTCTTGACTAAATTATGTGCGCTTTGAAAAATTTATTCATATTGTTGAGAGCGTAACGCGAATTATTTATGCGCGGCGAATTATCCCGCTCAATAAAATTGCTCCAAAAATAATTGAGACTAGCTAGCTAATTCGTCGTGTTAATTTCGTACGGCTCAATATTTCATAGTTTGATATTGTCCAAAATTTATAGGTTTTCAATGTTTTCTTTTTCCAAAAACTATTAGATATGAATTAGGAGACAGTCGGAACATTCAGGGCTTTAGCCTGATATACGTGCAGTCTTGTTATAAGAAGTATTGCTTTGTATTATTTTGCTAAAACTGTCCAAAATAATCAGGTCACGTGGGCTGGCTTTTAGCACAACTATCCATCCAGTGGTAGAGCAGGGGTTCGAGCATTGCCAGGAGTGTTTTTTTTTCCTAGCCAGAAATAGCCTTGATTTAGTTTTTTTTACCAGAAATAATATGAAAATTGAGGATTTTTTGATAAAAAACACCTACTTTATTTAAACACTTCGAAAAGAATTTCTGGCCTGATATTTAGTTTAGAACTGAAGTATTTCTCGCCAAATTAAAAAAATTGTTTGGTACGGGATGCTAAGCTAGAACTGTCCATATAATTTTCATACAATTTTGGTTCACATATTGTCTCTACAGGTCTCGGCGTCGCATTAAGCTTGTGTTGCGATTTAAAAAATCCCTATTTTACAGCATTTCAGCTCAAAATTCAACTTTGGATCATCTTAACAATCCCCCCAATGGTAACAAAGAAAGAATCGCCACCCCTATAAATAAAAATAAAAGCAGCAAGCTAGTCTTAAAGCTTTGTGTTGAAAATTCTAATAAGCTGTACTCTGATTGGTTGAAACATCGACTAACTTAATCTACTTAATAATTACACCCCCGTACTTAATAATTACTGCATTACTACCCCTGCGGGGGGGGGGGGGGGGTAATTTTTAGGTAGATCCCTAACTTTTTTCTCGGAACCGACTTCAATAGCGGTCAAGATATCGCAGATAATTATTATCCGTCTGTCAAAAAAATAGAGTGAAGCTTAAAAGTGTCTCCGGAACTTCTTCATCTTCGCTTCATCGAAACAATAGGTTATTTCAGTTTTTTTGCGACAAATCTGTGCCCTAGTGGTTGTATATCGACAAATCTGTGCCCTCCGGAAATATATGGTTCTTGGTTGAAGATTACTTCTTGTTAAAATGTAGACAGATGATGTAGAAATCAGTTTTTTGTTCATATGTTTCTTAACACGAGTTTTCATTATAATCAAGAGAAAAATTTTACATTTGACATTCACTTGTTAATAGATTAAATCAATTGTAAAAAATCAACGTCGCAAGGCAAACAAAAAAATCAGCTGAGCACAATCCACTAATTATGTTATTGTTAATTTTGACGCTGTCATGTTTGACCTTGTCAAATTCTTGATGCCTCAACAAGGCAAAACCAGCCCACTGGGAGATATTCGCAAATAGAGATTCTATTTTAAGTTTTTATGATTGGTTTGAATTTTTGAAAGTCGCCCGTGGCTTCAAAACATTCAGTTCTTACGTAAGGGACGATGCCTATTACTAGATAAACACTTATTACGAGACATTGGATATAGTGGAAACTTTGGCTAAAATAATGAATTTTTCATTTTTTTTTGAACTAGCAATTTTTTTAAAAAACAAACGTGTTCTGCTTCCTTACACTTTAGAAAAAACTAAAAACTCGCACTGATAAAGTCAGTTTTTATTTAAAAGCTAATTAAACTATTTGGGCTTCAAGAAAAATTGTGATTGACACTTTTTTCGATAAACTAACCCAATTTGAAAAAAAATGGATGAATAGTTAAAATCAAGTTTATCTTGACCTTTGCACCTTATCTGTTCGATAATGATGCTTACCTTTTTTTAACCAAAAAAAAACATATCAACCTATGAAAGAACCTGAAATAAATTGATCAACTCTTAAAAATTTTGTCCGATTGGAATGTTTTTTTTTTACTGGAAGTTACTAATTTGAGTCGTAAAGATGTGAGAAAACAGTTTTCTTTAGGTGGGAGGGGCTGAAGATATCAGTTCAATTTTTTAACAAACGCATATTATTACCTAAAAAAGAACGGCTTGCTGTTTAGGTTGCACTTTTTTATAAACATTTTGACGTGTAGTGTTTATTGACGCTGAAAAATTTTTATTGGTCAAAAATTTTCCAAAGGGTGCCCAAAAAGGGGCTTTTTTGACTTGTCTGTTTAAATTTGCTTGCGGTGCCGCTGGTCGACCTAACGAAAGAGTTTTTATTCAAAATCCACCTCTCCCCCTAACCCCCTCGAGAAAAGCCTAGTGAATAAAGGAGCATGGTGAATAAAAATTGAGATTTTGCTTCCCAATCAGGTACAATCCATATGACTTCTTTAAGTATTTTGAGGATTGGTTGGACAAAATAGAAATGGTAATAGTGTTGGTTGATGTGGTTGTTTGTTAAACATTTTAAATCACTCTTAAGTCAATGTTTACTTTAAAATCAATGTTTAACAGAAATGTTTCTTCTTTTCCCCAGTCGTTTTAAGAGAGAGAAAGAAAAGCTAATATAAGACTTTGTTTGTCATCTGACCCAGTAATTAACATTAATTATCAAACAGGACTGCTCGTATATCAAGGCAAAGCCCTGAATGTTCCGACTGTCCCTCATTTCATATTGAATAGTTTGAGAAAAAAAATTATTGAAAACCTGTAAGTTTTAGACAAAATATTGAGTCCAACAAAAATTTTGACTCGTACGAAATTATTACGACCGATCCGATTAGCTAGACTCAATTACTTTTCGAACGATTTTGTTGGGCGGGATAAGTCGCCGTGCATAAACAATTCGCGTTACGCTCTCAGCAGTATGAATAAATTATTCAAAGCGCGCATAATTTAGTCCACGACATGGCCATATTGGCAATTTTCAAACCCTCAGAAATTAACAAAAAATAATCGGAGGTAAGATACCTTTTGCATTTGAACTCGGGAAGTCGATATATTGAATGATGTAAAGTTTTTTTTGTCAAAAACTATGATTTCGATCGGCGTAAACTCACTGAATAAAAACACAGAGCATAAATATTCCGTTTTCTTCGAAAGTCGGAACAAAAACAGTTGAATTTCCTTAGTCAATGAGAAGTCTTGCTAATGCAAAACTAAACAAGACTGCTCGTATAAGGGCGAAACCGTGAATGTTCCGACTGCCTTTTGAGCTCTATTGAACAGTGTTTGCTTCAAAAATTTGATGAAATTTATCCCCAGTGCAGAGTGATACGTTTTGCTAAAAAAAGTATTATATAGACCAAATAGCACGCCTCAATCTACTTTGGAACGATTTCTCAGACTGATTAAATCTCGGCTTACACGTTGATAGCACTAATAATGTCGCGCGTTTCACAGGTGAAATATATTTTCTAAAAACAACAATATTTTTCTGATCGTATCAGAAATTTTGACAAAATTGCCAGCTAAAAAATCAAAATTTGTCTGGAGAAAAAAACCACTCCGATCACAAATGTTCCATCATTTTTGAACAAACAGAAACATCCGTTATTAAAAATATAAA